GAGTATTGTGTTGTAAAGAGATAACCTTTCCACTGAATAGAAGGTCAATTTATAGCAATTACAAAAAGTAATAAAACAATGGCCATTTAATATTGGTGTAACAAACTGCAGCGGTTACTCAGCAACTTAAAAACAAAGTGACTGCTGAAAGAGTGTATATTCAAAGAAAAGCATGATTAATATGCTGATTAATATGCAGACATCCGCTGGGAAGGGTTGTGAAGCAGGCAGAAATGTGTTTCAAGGCGTTCAAATCTGGAAACTGTCCAACTGGGTGAGAGGACAATATAGGTTCAATTATGGCTAATATACAATATACCTCAAAATGTACTAGCACCAGTACTTAAAAAGGCGGCGGGGGGAATATATAAAAAATGCCAGGGCTCAACATAAAACCAGAATAATTTTTAAATGGGAACATAATTGTAAAATTTTCACTTTCCTGTAAAGCAAATATGTTTTCGAGTTATTCTATTTTAATATTTTTTTTTCAAAATATGCCAGTGCGTCGATGAGGCTCATTCAGAAAGTGTACCTGTACGCCCCCTGGTGGATTTCATTTTCCCCCAACTAATCATGCAACGTGAGGTCAAAGTTTAAATATGACGCAGGAACGTACACGGACACAAAGTAGCTGGAAGACGTAGTAGAAGTAAGAAGTAATGCTTTCTAAATCAATCTTTTTATTTATTCTGCCACTAACACAGATATCTGAGCCCGCGAGCTCTCCGGTCACATCCCGTGACTTTACGAGTCTATAGCGCGCGCACAGACTGCAGGATAGTTGCCGGTGAGCTAGCATGTTAGCTAGCCAATAGCACGGAATGGATCTGCTGAGTATAGTTGTGGATGAAGTGGCTCTGGAAGGGCTGGACGGGATAACCATTCCGACTTTGTGGATACGACTGGAAGACAGGCAGCCCGGGTTTCCCCTCAAGCTCGACGACTGCACCAAGGAGCTCATCTGGAAGTCACTGGTCATCAACAGCGACCTGTTGTTTTACGAGCTCCCGGAGGAGAGAGACGATGTCGTGCTGACCGACAGGTGACGTTCTCATCCTCACAGATATCATAAGGAATCTCACAGTTTTAACACAGTTAAAACAAACGGCAGGCTTCCACACAACAAGTAAATCAATCCTCAGATTTGTCACGATGGTTCACAGACAGGCGGAACAATTATTTTCTGAGTGGGGCTGTTGTTTTCCTACACTTTAACACTCTTGCACTTTATGTACTCCATCTTAAACCCTGCAGTAAACCAGATTGTGATGCACTTAATAATCCTCTGTGTGCATCTGTGTTAGAAAATCTCCCACTGTAAATTTCTCAAGCCTTTGTTGTCATCCTCCATTGATTTCTTTTGTTCGACCAAAAGAAAAAGATTAGTCATCTTAACCTCATCAGTGACTCCTGAGATTTTAGTGACCTGAAACATCAGCTGGATAGCACTGGTGGTAATGGACTGATCCTTTAAAAACAACATTTAGCTGTGCGCCCTTTACCTAAAAGCAAGTAGACCAGGAATGTCAAAGTCATTTTGCACCATTGATCGCATCCAATCCATGCTGATCTTAAGTGAGCCGAAGCAGTGAAATTCTTTTTTCTGTTGTTGTAAAGAAGTGTAATTACACATTTAATCCCTGAGATATCTTAATATAAGAACAAAAGTGCAATTTGAACAGTATAACTCAGTTTTCCTTCATTGTAAGAAATTAATTGCACAGGCTGTCCTGTAATTATAACATGGAAACTCTCCAAAAGTTGATTCTGTTCATCTGGACGTAGCGTTTTCTGGGAGAAACGTTTCGTCACTCATCCAGTGACTTCTTCAGTCTCAGCTGACTGCAGGTTTCCCCAAATCTTATAAACAGTACATTTGCATAATGACTGAAACCAGCCCACTGAAGGAACAATGGGCTGGGAGGTCAGTTCCTTAATCACAATTATGCAAATTCTCATGACCATTGATCAACAACCACTGACCAAAGACCACTGATCAATGGCCATGAGTACCATTCACAGAGAGTTGGGGAATGGCTGCAATCACAGCATTGTAAGATGGCGAAAGATGTATAACATGGAAAATTGTTGTTAATTGACAGAATGTCTTTTCTTTCTTTCTTTCTTTCTTTCTTGAACTGTGAACCTACTGTAGAAATAATAAATTTCTGCATTAGTTTTAAAACAAGAACTTTCTGTTCTTCATTCATCTGTTTCTTATTTACCTCGGTGCTGTATGAATTTCCATGGTGAAGGTGATTATCAGTAGGAAAACCTGTAAAACTCAAAACATCCAAGGTTTATGCCTTCCCTTCTTTGAAGATGTCCAGTGGGCCAAATTTGAATCTTTTGTGGGCCTATTCTGGTCCCCGAGCCTTTTGTTTGACAACTGTGATGTAAACTCTTTTTGTGGACATCCTAACAAAAGTTTTGGACTTTCCTAATGCTCTTCTGGTTGAACGGAAGTGAATTCTTTTGTTTTTATTAGTGTAAATATTGATAGTTATTAATATTACACCCTAGTTTGTAGAGGTAGTAGTAGTTCTAAGAGCATTTTTCTTTCAGGGTCAAGTTTACCATTGAAATTTAATGCAATAAATGTGTTAT